AAGCGTGTTGATGGGCATCCTGGAGTTGCGCAACTATCGCGTCAGGTAGGAATCATGTTGGCACAGTATAGAAAAGGGGGAGAAGTGCCATAGACAGCAGAACATAACAGACAACGACTACAGAGCCAAGAATAAAGCGATATCCACGCAGCAGCAATCATTCATGACCGACTCCGTGCGGAGAGAGTCAATGATTGAGGCGGCTGGGGAGTTCGACGCGAGGAGGACAACCTTGAATAATGCATTGGAGTCTCAGCTCCACGTCTACGTCATATCCAAGACATTCAGCCTTGTGGGACCCCATGTGGCCTACGGGAAGATGAGATTACAACAAAGAATCAATTCTCGGACTATACAGCTTGAGCTAACCGACCTAATCCTCCAAAGATCCGACATTGTCCATCCTAGTTCCTACTCTACTTCTTGCCCACTTAGAATAAGCAGACCCCGACACCAGCAACCGAGGCCAGCAGGACGAAGGACAAGAGACTATTGGGGATCTTCACAGTTGGGCCAGCATTGCTGGCTTGGGCAGCCCCATCCTCAATTCCGTTTCCAGAACCACCATTTCCATCACCACTTTGACCCTGACCCTCTGGCTCTGTGACTTCCCCCTCCAACTTCGCCAAACGGATTTCATTGGCCCCAAAGTCAAACACCGTAAGCACGTTCTTGAGAAAGGGTGCGCCGATGATGTTCAATGTGAGATCCCCAGCCGTGCCCCCATTGAAGTTCGAGCTCAAGATATTCGAGACGCATTGCGCCTTACCGCCGCTTGGGTCAGCGGTTTGATAGATAAGATCACGACCGTCGAGAAAGAACGTCTGATTACCAATCCCAAGGCCGAATTGGGGTGGGGTGGCGGCACAGTCGACGAGCCACAATCCTGTCGTGGCATCGAAGACAGCGGGCGGTGAGAACAGGGAGTTTACAGAGGCCACTGTCTTATCAGGAAGGTAAGAGAAGAAATTGCCGCTGTCGATGAATGCTTGGAATGAAGTGCCGTTTTTGGTTGTGGAAGAGGCCGTGATGTTGTTTGGGTGAGGAGCAGAGAGAACCGTGGTCTTATTGCCGGGGCCGTACACAATAGAAGATACGGTTATCGCCCAGTAGGCACGGACGCGCTCATTGGACGTGACTTGAATGGGGACGGAATTGTCAATCTCAACTGGGACCTTGGTGAAATCATCGCTGTGCGGAACTGGTGGAAGGCCGCCGAGAGTCAAGTAGCCCCCAAACCCAGAGGAGGTATTCTGTGGTGTTCGTGCCAGTGCAAGGCTGAAGTATGGGTCTATTAGACCCTGTTGGTGCATGGTGAACAGCAATGGATTATATGTGAGGCGGTTGTAGAAGTAGGTCGTGTTGTCCGTGACGTTAGCTGGATGACCTGATGTCAATGCTGGATATGCTAGACCCAGAAGGCCAGAGTTGACGCCGTCGCCCATGGGAGTCGAGCTATTAGCCACTCCAATAATTGACTTCTTGACTGTGATGCCAGCGAGAGTGATTTCTTCGTGGGCCAAGACGCCGGAGGCAATGCCCGCGCCATATTGAACACCAAACATCTCGTTCGGGATTTCAGAATATGTAGCAGACGGAGTATATGTCGCGCTGCCGTACAAACAGGCAGATTGTGGGAGTTCAGTCCCATTGTTCTTGTCAAAACACTGATAGCCTTTCTTCATGACATACGTGTCGCTGCTTCCAGTGTCGACAAGGAGAGGAAAGGTCTGCCCGCCGATCGTCACGTTGACATCGAAGATTGTTCCAAAGGTTGTAGACAAGAGACCCGAAGTGGCATTGCTGGGGGTTGATGTGCTTCGACGATTGAGAACAAGATGCTGGGCTGAGCTGGAGGATAGAGCGAGAGCAACGGTTTGTAACAAGCCTAGAGTAAGAAAGAGTGCGGACACGTTTCCCATTGTGAGAAGTTGACAGAGATAGCGAAGGCCTTCAATCGATTGGAATTGAAGAGATGTCTTCCACTTGACGGGTTCGAGCACCTACCGTAGGTCTTTTATACCTTGAGTGTTGATATGGCTTCGCCATTGATCGATGCCTTTGCTTAACCACGCGCTCTCCAAGGGTTTCTCACTGACAGGGTGACAACGTCCGTAAATTCGTAAGCTAACTTCAAGGGAAACCTTGAGGAAGCGATGGTCTTCAGCATGTTGGCGGCCTTACATGAGCCGATACCACTTCTTGATATACAGACCACGACCATCGAGCTGTGATAAAAGAATCGTCCTGTCAAAAAGGTATGGTGCCGTGACGGACAAAGAAGGCGGATTCTCGCTTGTCCGTACGCTTCAACCTCGGGGAAAATCGTGGATGGGATTGGTTGGCAAGGCTGTGCCAAACCCCACAAGGCTGAGCGCAAATCTGTCTGGGTCTTTACAACTTCAGCTCGGTCCTTTGACCTCCTCAAACTAGTCGATATCGTCCATTTGGCTCTAGATCGATCCACAGACCGACCTCATGCCTCAAAACCTAGACTTTGCCGCCGCAATGTCCCTCTCCGTCCCCCCTGCTTGCGTATTCTTCAATCGTCTACATGGACAAATTGGCGGCTAAGAGGCTGCGGAAGAGCGCACCCAAGACTCGTTCAGGGTGTTCAACGTGCAAGTACGTATGTATATACTAGACAGCTGGACGATTTTGACGCCAGTGCATACAGAGCTCGCCATATCCGATGCGATCAAGCAAGGCCGGAATGTGAGAACTGCACCTCGTCTCACAGGAAATGTCAAGGCTATCCGACCCCTCCAGCACAAAATTCTCGAGGCGTACAGAACCCAGCTCAGAATTTCAGTTCTATCGCATCGTACAGTATTCCCTTCAAGGTGCCCGGAAGCCAAGCCGATCGGCAGCTCTTACATTATTACTGCTGTCAAGCAGCATGGAACCTCTCCAGCTACGCCGACCCGACCTTGTGGACCGAGCTGATCCTCCAGCGAAGTCAAGACCAACCCGTCATCCGAAATGGCCTTGTGGTTCTGAGCTCCCTACACAAGGACTTTGTTTGTGGGTCGTTCACGAACAAGCCAAGTCTACACGTTGAGACCATGACTATGGTCAGCAAATGCTACGTCCAGCTGAAGAATTACCTCGCGAGGTCTGATGCACAGCCAGATGTAGCATTGGTCTGCAGCGTCATATTCTATTCTTTGGAGTCACTCCTTGGCGATACTCAGCAGGCGATATCACACCTCGATAGCGGCTTAAAACTGCTGAAGCGAACCCAACACGAGGGAAAATGGGCCGACGAACAGTTGATCGTACAACTGACACACCTCTTGGAGCGTCTGGATATCCAAGCGAGCTCCTATGATGACCTCAGACTTCCAGTGCTGGAACTGGTTGGTCCCGAAGACACTCGAGGAGTGTTGTCGGTTGTTCCTGATTCGTTCCAGAGTCTCGACCATGCTGAAGGCGTTCTGGTGAAACTTCAGAACTGGACCCTCCGCCAATTGATTAGCCAGGTCCAACACAAAGGCAAGCCATCAAGTGAAATTCCTCAGGGTTTGTGGCGCGAAAGAGTTGTATTACGCCAGCAGTATGAGAGGTACCGGCACTCACTGAGTGGCCTTGGTAATAATATCGGCAATTCTGCCTCCAATGTCTCAGCGAGTGCCACCAAGGACGGTAGACAGCAGCTCCAGCACCAACAGTTCTTGCTCTTGCAGATAAGCTTCCACACCTTCTACAGTCTTATTGAGGAGAATGTTCCGATTGCCGCTGATGCTATGAGCTATCCTCCTGATGACGAAGATACCCTCGGCACAGCACTATCAGAAGTACTCGGGCTTCTCTCTCTGGCAACTCGCTCAGCATCACGTTCCGCCAGCGCTCTGTTCCCACTAGCCTCGCCTTCGCAACGCACCTATACATTATCCACATTCCTCATCGGGACGCTGTACTTTGTGTGCCTGAAAACCACCCACCCGGAAATATTGGCCACGGCTTGCCGACTGTTCTCCCACCCTCTGCTCAAGCACTCGCGTGATGGTCTCTGGGACTCCCGCCTTGCGGAGATGGTGGTCAAGAATGTGATGAAGATTCGTGATCGAGGCATGGGCATGGATATACCTGATAATATCGCGGCAGAGAACCCGACGACATCGACGTTCACCAGTGAGGATGTCAGCTTGGAGGAAAGGACCGACTATCTCACCACCGACTTGTCCATGCTGACTCCCAACGAATCGGATTTGTTCACTGACGCAGCTGCATTCCTCATTACGAACGACTCTTTCCTGCTCCCAACCGATGCTGTGGCACCGGGCACATCTTTGTCCGTCTCGGGCGCCAACTCGTCGTGTCCATCAGAAGATTCGTTCTCGATATTCAACACTAGCGATACGAGTCTCCCATACGCGAACACGCAGCGAATCGAGGACTTGACCCGGAATTTAGGCCGTGTTTCGTACATTGACAGCACTCCAGAAAGTTATCCGAGAACTGAGCAAGACCAAATATACGCCGTGGAAGACGAGCCAACAGCCCCGAGTGTCCACCACTACGTGCAGATTCGGCCGAAAACTCTGCCTAGGGTACAACTGCAGAGTAAGGATGCCATGTACCACCACCAATTCACGGTGCCGAGGGGTAAGTCACCCGGGAGTTCCAGGCTGGAAGACTTCGCGCTGGGTATTGTGGACGCGGACGGCGGAATCGAGGAAGCAGCCAAGAGGGTCTCGGCCATGTTCATATAGGGTAGATTCCTGGAGACGATGGATTGCACAAACATTACATATGTAAAGACTACTCCAACGCAAGTTCCAGCCGGCATCACTACTTCTGGATCTTGACGGCGATGTCCCTTGACCCAGCCCCTCTAACGGAGAGGAAGCATGTTTTTGTCCTCTATGGGCCGAAGACGACAGTTGCGGCAATATATCGTCAACCGTCAGGGATATCCTCTGATCTACCCTTGTCCGCACAGCATCCAACAATCCTCCACGTTAGGTCAACCCCTGCCAATCGACGCTCTAGAAACCTCAGACTCGAGGTTTCCACCCCGTCCAGTCTACAAAAGCGTTGTCGAAGAAGTCATTCGTCCATGCTGTCAAATCGGTCGGCTCAGCACCAACGTTCTCTGTCTGGGGATTGTAGTTAAGATCAGAGGAATGCATGTTGTAGTTGAAGAATGAATCCCAACTCAGAGCGTTTGGCCAGTGATCGGACACTGGTTCTGCTAGAAAAGGAGGAATCACTGGATTGGCAGTGTTGTGGTCTGGTAGACAGGAAATGGCTGGTCAGATACACCACTTTTTTTTGGTGTGTTGGGCCAAATACGTACCTTGAGGGTTAACCACCAATTGGGCATGCTGCACCAAAACCTCAGCGACACTCTTGAGCTTGGCGGCAAGCGAGTTCCTCGAGCTCATCTTCCCCAAGAAGACAGGGAGGTGCTCCATGGCTGCCAGTGCTGCCCGGTTGTCGTCTGATCCGCCCGCGCCATTCGAAATAAGTTCGCCGAAAAGGTCCAAGAACGGCGTAAAGGGTGCACACAAAAGATGCCATACCATGCTGTTAGCTGAACCTTGGGACTCGTCCGACCCCATCTTCTCGAGCAGACAAAGCATCCGTTTCGACGACTCAGTACACTGGACTCTCATCCGGGGTGAAGATCGAGCGAGGAGGATATAGAGGTACTCGTACTGGAAACTGACGTTTCTCAGAGCCAGGTCAATGGCAGCAGCATCTTTGGCGGCGAGAAGTGGTTTCTCTGTGAGAGAAGCAGCTTCGAGAATCTGCGTGGCATGTCAATGTCTTTGAAGATCCAGGTCCGTTGAGATTACTAAACACCTGTATTGTGCTGAGATACCAGGACTCAAGACTCTCGCTGGTTGATTCGATGTTCGTGTAATCAGGCATCGGATCTTCATGAAGATAATACCAGATATCACCCATTATGAGTGACAGAAGGAACATTCGGTTGATGTAATCTGAAGCTCATATCAGTTGTTTTCCGTTGTTTGGGGTCATCACAACCATTTCACTCACGCACTCCGAACAACGCTGGTGTGTCAGACGGGTCAGTATCTTGCTGAGACGAAAAGATCCGCTTTACCGTTGGGACGGGTATCCCCATCGGCATTCCGCGGTGGAAGGCAGGAGATCTGCCAAAGATGAGAGCCAGTCCAATATCCACCAGATACAGATGCCAAAACATCATGACGCGCCGGTCTCGGGTGGGAGAGTCGAATCGGCGGTGGTTCACACCCAACGCCTGCAGCATCCTGCATGCGTTTGTAACCATCATCCAACAAAGTGTTGGAGTGGTGAACTCTTCAACATCAAGAGCGAGCAGAAGCAATGCCTGGATGTTCACCTCGCTGGGCTCGAGGTGGAGTCTGGCATCGTTGAGGGCGAGCATGAGATTTGATCGAAGCTTTGATTTTGTGGATTCGTCCACGGGGTCGGTTTCGGAGACGAGATTGAGGATGATACCATAGTACATGACCAGCCAAGCTCGATCCCTCACCTTCTCCGGACAAGATGCTCGCAAGTGGCCCAGTACTTCGGGAGGCGGAGTGAGACAGCAAGGACGATCGCGTTTCAACTCGGCCTCAAAGGCTGTCCCGAGTTGTGTCAGCAGTATCCTCTGTTGTACAGACTACAGCACTCACTATTGACCCAGGAGACTGCCCGATCTTTGAACAAGAAAAACGTCCTAGCAGCCTTGCCCAGCTCTACAGAACCCTGCCAAACGGCTGCAGAAGTTTGAGCCAGCGACGAGAGCGCTCCCAGAGAGTTTTGTCGCGACGCGCCGAGACCGTGCAAGCGCTCCCGAGTCGCATCTATATCAGTTGCCAGGCTGGAATGCAGGTTGTTGGGAGCCACTTCGCCAGCGTGGCTGCCAGTGACCGCACTAGAAGTCGACTGATCAGAGACACTGCTGGCATGTTTCCGCTTTTGTCTATTTCGGCGAATGAGGCCCGACCGTGAATACGAGCAAGTAGTAGCTTCTTCTTCGCAGCGTTGACAACTAGGCTGGCTTCTCGAGCATGCAACCTGCGAATGGATCAGTCACAGCCGTCTTCCATGTCTGCGAGCTGGTAGGGTTGACACACCTTGCGGGATCGGCATTTATCACACTTCAGCCGCCAATCTGGTCAGTTTAGAGGTTCCGATGAAGTCAGTGATAGGGACTTACAGCATACGGGGCCAGTGTCTCTGTCATACTCAGGTCTGTCGATGATTGAAAGATGGGTAAATGAATGTCGGTGACGGGCGCTCGTCATGGATTTGGCTCGCCAAGACAAAATTAAGTGCCGAATATCCTCCGTCGGAACTTACGGAGCTTGATATTCTGACAACAAGAGGTACCCAAGGTACCTCCGCTACACCTCACTGAATCTTGATCGTGATATAAAAGATGGCCTTTGACACTTACAAGCTGGAAATGTATTTCTCTTTCACTTTCGATTCCTCCAAAGAGTTCCGTCATGGCACCGCCTATCGCTATCCTCGGCGCCGGCCCCAGCGGCTTGATGCTCGGTCGCATGCTCGAACTCGCCAATATCGACTACATCATCTTCGAGCGAGACATATCAGGAAATGAGACCTCTTCACGAGCCGGTACCCTCGATATCCACGCCAACTCTGGCCAGGTTGCTCTTCAGGAGGCTGGCTTACTAGACCGGTTCAAGAAGCTCGCCCGTACCGACGCACATACAGTGCTGGCAGACGGGCAAGGCAAAGTCTACGTCAGGACGGGTGGTTGCGACGATGCCAACGAGGACAGACCCGAGATCGACCGCAAGGACTTACGTGCGCTGCTCCTGAGCTCCGTTCCAGAGAACAAGGTCCGCTGGGGTTGCAAGGTCCAACAGGTGCAGCAAGACCCCGACGGGTCAATGTCTGTGCGGTTTGCGGACGGGAGAGTCGAATCGGGCTTCCGCCTCGTCGTCAGCGCGGATGGAGCATGGTCGAAAGCTAGGAATCTCGTCAGTCTCCCCCGTCTTGTCTCTATCCATCTCCCAGCCCGGTTCTTCAGTGTCTGACACGACGGTTAATAGGTCACATCGACCAAACCTGAGTACTCTGGAATACATTATTTGACCACCACGATCAGCGCTGGAAATCCGTTCCATGAGTCAGTCGCCGCGCTGGCCGGACAGGGCAACTACATCGCCTTTGGCGCGGGAAAGCAGATCGTTGTTTTCAAACTCGGCGACGGCGCTTACTACGTCGGCGTAGGCTTGCGCCTCCCTGAGCACTGGAGCACGGAGAATGCGACGATCCTGGAGAACCCGTCGGCTCTGCGTCAGTGGTTGTGCGACGAACACTTTGCAGACTGGCCGCAGGTGCACACGGATCTGATCACATACAGTGACGGGAAGGTCTATGCCTGGCCGTTACACGCTGTGCCGACTGCGTCGCTGCCATGGACGACCGTGTCTGGTATTACCCTGGTAGGAGACGCTGCGCATCTAAGGTAAGCAAGATCACAACACTACATACAATCCCCTTGTTCCTTCTCACCCTCCCCCTGCTATTCGCATGTTGACTCCGCTACCCTCTGAGCATGAAGTACCTGACTAACTAACTTACTGGCACATACAGCCCCCCTTTCGTAGGTGAAGGCGTCAACTGCGCTCTGACCGACAGTCTCGAGCTCGCCCAACAGATCATCAAGTATGGGGTAAACGACCTGGACCGCGCCGTGGCAGAGTACGAGAAACTGATGGCCCCGCGCGCGATCGATCTCATTACCAGGAGTAATCGGAGTGGAGAGCTTTTTTTCGCGCCGGACGCGCCTCGTGGCTGGCTTAAGGCTTTTGCTGGTGTGGATATTGACGAGTAGGCGAGCGAGTGAGTGAGTGAGCCAAGGAATGGGATGAGGTGAATTTCAGGATGTGTATGGACATAGATACTGGACGGCGAGTCAATGCATGTACGTTCACCTAGGTATGCGCATTAAGACAGGATATGGATACGAATGCGCATTCGGATATCAGTATAGCAAGTCCTCAGAACGAGGTACGTTAGTACAATAATTGACCGGATGCCAGCTACCATCTACCATCCTGAAACAGCACAGTCATATCTCCATACTCTACCGACCACGAGTCTGGAAACACACGACGACCTAGCTAAGCAAGATAGTCCCCAGTCCGGAGGTTCCAGGTACATACATATGTATGGTGAGGACCGAGTAGGTGTAGAGTGATCGTCTCTCGAAGTGTCTCCACACGGCGAATGTCATGACTAGCCTCTTTGGGTCGGCGGTGGGTGTTGGTAGGGATCGCATGTGGGGCCTTTTTTAACATCTGCATACATACATAGGTAGGTACATAGGGAGGTTCATAGGAAGGTAGGTAGGTATCTCGCCACAACCCCAAACTTTTCAATTCTCCTCACAGGTGGCTACGCTCTCGCTCCTCTCCTTTCATCCAATCACCATTTTCACGCACGTATGGCTGTGTCCGCTGAATCTCGAACCCCCGCCCGCGCAGCCGCGCCGGCCACACGCCACTCTTGCCCGGGGCGAGGATGCCGTTCGGGTCGAGACTGTCTTTCAGCTGTTGGTTGAATTTCATCGACGCCCCGCCGTTCCAGTTGTACACGCTGGCGATCTGGTCCATGTAGCAGAGGTGGGTGCGGTATTCGCCGTAGCCCTGTAGGTGGTGGACGAGAGCGAGGAGCGGTTAGTTATAGGAATGATCTTGAAGGAGATAGACTGGTAGGCATATTCTTTTGAGGGGACAAAGTCCCCGGACGGACTGGTGGATGGTAGAAGGACCTTTCGACAAAAAGGGAGGGGGATAGGGTTGTACATACCTCGGCTGCGGCGTCGTCGATCAACAGTTCAATGCATCGGTGTGCCCGTCTGCGTGAATCAGGGTCCGACTTGTCAAATGTGAGGCACACTATGATACAAATCAGTGATCAATCTTTCTCCCCGAAAGTTTGTTTTTTCTCTCAGATGAAAAAAAATTATCGGACGAACCAATGTGGTGAAGTTCACGCCATCCCACGACAAAAGTGCCCAGGTAGTCGAACCCAAACTCGCCCAGTCTCCGCTTCACCATCGCGTACTGTTTGTCGGCGTCGACACCCGTGGCGGGCGAGATGGGAGAGAATCCCAGCAGCGAGCCGCGCTTGCAGGTCCAGTCTAGCCAGCCCAGCTCGTACGTGTTCGGGATCCCCTTGAGGGTTTCCTCGCGCATGTGCAGGACGGTCTTTTGGGAGCCTTCTCTGAGAGGTTCGGGGATTTCGTATCTCGCCTGTGAAACTAGGGTCAGACAAAAGAGAACAATTGTGGAGAATGATGATAAATAGACGAAGAGCCACTGATTGTTGGGCTTGCCACAAGCAGGGCAAGATAGACTCACCCCAGGAATCTGCATAAAAGTATTCTTCAACACTTCCCACTGAAGGTCCCGCATTGATTTCGGCCCGTACATGGCACCGTAAACGTTCCATCGGCCAACCCCTATCTTTTGAGCGATCCCGTCGATCTCGCCGTCTGTGAGGACGTCTTTGGAATCTGTGTAGTGAGACTTTGGGGCATAAACGGCAGCGTCGAGGAGCGTCGATCGAATCGTTGGCGCGTTCTGGATGACCATGCCAATCCGTAGGACACGGATAGCTTCAACTATAGCCGGGAGATCGGTGTCGTTCTGGAAAGAGAACAGGTAGGCTTGGTAGCCCTGAGTCGAATGTGTTAGCTCACCCGAGTATATTGACGAATAGCTCTCTCATACGGCGGGAGATGTCTTACACCAGGGTCCGGCATGAGCCAAAAGCCCATCTTCGTGACAATGCCATAGTTCGACTGGGTGAAGATGCCGTCAGGATACGGGCCGAATCCGTACTGGAATGTCTGCCAGGTGTTGTTGTTCGGCAGGGCTCCCATCCCTGTCCGCATCACTTCACCGGTTGGCAGGACGACTTCCATGCCGCAATGCATCGAAAAGTGCTCTCCGTAAGGAGTGTAGCCAGCACCTCGATCCAGAGCGTTGCCGATGACGGAGCCACCTCCCAGGTCGGGGTTGTCGATCCAAAGATGCTTGAAGCCGTTCTTCTGAAGATAGTCGTAGAGGGCAAAGTACGAAACACCAGGCTCGAGCAGACAGGTGCAGTCTCGGTCGCTGACTTGAAGCACTTTGTTCATCCGGGCTCCCATGTCAAGAACAATGCTGCCTCGAAGACGGGGTGCAGAGCCTCCATACCCTGTAGTTGTTCAGCTCTCGTTAGCAGTCCTGCGACAGATCTCGTACGTACCAAGGTTTCGACCCATAGAGACAGGCCACAATGGTGTCAAGTACTCGTTGGCCAGTTTTACAATGGCGGACACGTCTTCTGTTGAACCTGGCCGGACGACCGCACTCGCGAGGAAGACATCTTTTTCCAAAACGTAGAACAGGTCATGTTCTTTCGGGAGGTTGTAGTAGTGTCCATCCTCGTCAGGTTTCATCGCCTCCTTGGTACAGATGTCGACATTCTCCGGCCCGACTATCAGACTGATTTCTTTTAGTGCTTGTCTTAAGGTGCTCGCAGAAACATCCGGTGGGGTTATAAGATCGACATCACCATGCGAGTCAAGCAAAGAAATTGACGCCATGGCTGCTGTGTTGAGAACCACTTGTCTGTGTAAAAGACAAGGCCACGTCTCGATGAAGACTAGTCAAGCCGGTTGAGGAAGATAGTCTACTCAAGAGCCAGCTGAGTCCCACGAGGATTCTCTCCACGGCAAACCTGACTATTTATGCCGTGAGAACACTGAGAGTCTAGTAGGTTGGGTGGGACGAGAACTTTCCCACGGGGCCCCAGGTAGCTAGCCTTGGCCTCGTGTTGTGGCCCAGCCAGAGAGCATCGTCACCCCACATTAAAGACTTGAGCGAGAGGTGGTAGGAATCTTGAAGCATTGGCGACGAGATCATTGTACCCTCGCATGTCGCAGACCTTGGTTAGCGAGAAGCTGGCAGTTTTGGATTATGGGCAGTAGATGCAATATTCTCCACCTGTCCCACATGACGAATCTCAGGCTCGAGTCAGTCCAGTGTAAGGGGAGAAAGCAGGAAGCGGCTATTTTGAACTGCTGTTGAGCGTCTGTATCTGTGACAACAATCATTTCTTGACCTTTTGTATGCCGCTTCAGCCGCTGGAATCTTCATCATTTTTGGGCAAAAGGAGAGGAAGTCGATCCAGATCATTCTTGCGGGCATTGACCAGCTCGGTGATAGACCGACGAGCCTCGAGCAGCTGTACAAGTTCTAGAGAATTGTTAGAAGGACAATAGACCGTGGACAAATAGTAGAGGCTCTCACCTAGCACAGAAGCGCCTATCTGCCAGAACGATCCTATCGCCCCGAGAACTAGCTTCAACATCTCGAGGTATATGGGCCGGCTCTCGTCCGGGTGAGCAGCCAACTCGCACGCTGTTTTGGCATTGATGGCCGCGGGTCCAAGAAGGGTCGTGGTAACCAGAGGACATGTTCGAGCGATGTAGTTAGGGTCCCATTCCCTAATAACGCGACACACCAACTTCTCATCTTCCAAGGCTGACGTTTCCAGTGAGACATCCAAATGCTCTGGGAACTTCCGATTACAAAGCAGTCGAAGTGACGAGCGACTCCTATGGCCTCAAATCAGCATGTGGGATCTTGATATGTTAGACTTTCGCATGAAGGACGTACGACTGCAGGATTAAATGAGTGCACACAATCCAATTGTTTGCGGCAAAACTGGACTCATCATAGCTCAGACAGTTCGTGGAAAGATGAAACCTTTGAGGAAGAATCAGAGAGAAGCAAGTTATGGAGGACTGGAAGTCGCATATCGTCTGCGCTGTCGTATGCCGTCTGTGGATTATATCGTGAGCAAACGCCCTGAGGAACGACGCTATGAGGAACCAAGCCCTGTCGTCGTCGTTGGGAGAATCTTTGAGTGTCTTCCAAACGTGTAGTGGGTCATGTATAACTGCGACGGATGCAACCGGCGTATCAGAGAACCATGCTTCATCCGATACTGGCAGCAGGACGTTTATGTGAGTTTTGTCAATGGTGTGTGGCCGCTTCAGAATCGTCCCCGAGAACATGTCAAGCTCCCAAGCCAACCACCAAGCCCGACGGAGTTCTTCTTTCTTGCTCCATTCTTCTGTCGACGTCCATTGGACTGTGGATTTGGACTCCAAGATGTCATGGTCGATGTTGTTAAGTCCTAGGTCATACGCCAAACGGCAAGAGATACCAATGAGATTGCCGCAGCGCCCACTGGAGCCACACACCTGATGATACCAGCCCAGAAGAATCAATCCCTGTAGCAAGGATAGATTCGCTTGGATTGCCGCATCGAGTTTCATGGCGTCCTGAAACAGCTGTGTGGCCTGGGTGAGAAACGGTTCAGCCCGACTCTTCGGGGGTAAATGGGCGAAATACGAAGATGTAGAAAAGCGGGCGGCTAGGGCGCAGATCGTATCGAGAATCAGGCAGTCTTCCAAACAGAGACTCTGATATTTCTCGGTATCTTGACCGTACACGTTATATTTTGCATAGAATCGCGGTTTGTGAAAGAGCGGTAGCCATCCAGACACATACTTGAAGAATGCATCGATGCTAAGTACAGTAAGCATTGGGCACTGACATACGGGCAAGTACTGCATCACTCACATATCGTCGACGACCATGGCAGGGAACGGCATCGAATATCGATTAGTCTTGGTATTTCCTTGACTCGTTGAGTTTGTATTGGATGCGGGAAAGAAACCGAACTGAAAATTATAGTTCATCTCGAGAGCGCCTCCAGGATCTTGCGCTTGCAGCAGAGGAATATCCAGCATCTCCCCTACATTTCCCAGGAGAGTTTCTGGAGCCTGGCCGTTTGAGAAGCCGTCCGTTAGCCAGGGTCCTAGGGTGGGATCGAAGACATCTGCGAAGAATCGAGTTTCATTCTGTCCAGTTAAAAGTCCAAGACCGGAGTTCATGTCGTTTGTACAAAGCAGTCCATTTTCTAGCTCGTTTGTCGTTATCTGCACACCGTGGTTAGGAGAGAAAGCAGGCGTTAGGGGGACCTGAGGAGACTGCGAGGTGGTGTTTGAAAGGCTGTCTCGTCTCTCTCTCCGTCGCAATAGAGCATTTTCCAGCATACTGAGATCCAGCAGGTCGAGGATTCGGTCTGGAATGAAACGTTTTAGCTCGTCGTCGTTATGCCTCGAACGATTCAGCTAACTCACTTATTCCTTCTTCTCCCTCCAACTCCAGGAGACGGCGCGGGCTGGCGCTCAACTGCCAGGGGCGAGTTGCCGGTCGTCTTTTCTTCGGGTAATAACAGGCTTGCCCAGTTCGAGCGCACAGAGAGCACCTCGGAGTGCGTTTGTCACCTTCTCATGGTCAATCGCACACATTGGATATAGGTCTGCGGAGATGGCGCACATTTGATCTTCTTCCTTTGGGAGTCTTAGACAGAGCAGCACCCTTTACGGCTGGGAAGATGAATAGTACCTGTTACACTCTCCACATGCACGAGCTTGTTTGCCTCTTTTTGGTTTCTCGCTGGCATGCCCTTCGTAGGTTGATTCCGTGCCGTTGTTTTCGTGACTCGAAGTATCGGAGCCCTCTCCTGTGAGCATATCGTCCATAGAGGCATCCATGATGGTATCCTGAGAAGTGGTGAGAGCTTGTACTCCGAGGGTAAGAGTCGGATTTGTGGGGGAGACTGACCTTATACGAGGAACATGCTGGAGATGGATCGGCAAACGAGAAATGGGTGAACCACGGTGCACCGCCAAGAGCCTAATACTCAGTTAGAGTTATGGGCGCAGTTGGCGTTTCTGGGGGGCATAACAGCCTTTTTCTACCGCCTACCATCCCTAGCACTAGGGGCTCATTATGTACCTATATTGGCTTACTAGGCTCGCTAGATTTGCTACTACGCGGAACCCCTTCCCCAAACCTAGCGGTTCTTTGCAGTAGCAACAGCTTACAATTCCGTATATTTTTAATGATTACTCAACTCCAAGCTTGACACTGGAAGTCAATATTCGAATTTATCAATGAAAAGTCGTCTCGGCCAGACAATCATCGCCGATGGTGAACGCTCAGCTAAGACTGGCTGTCACCTCTGGAGAGGCACAGTTTGGATTTATTAGAGGGAGACGGTCGCTACAATCAACTAGCTGTCGTAGACGTTCATATTCACTGAGTGGTGCGCTCTACCTACCAAATGTTCTTCTGCTTGCTCTTAAAGGCTTGTCGCTTCCAGCCGACGCATAGAGGTTTGACAGTTATAGCTGGTAGCAGGTATTGAGAGCCAATTTTGTGGCAAGTGGTGTCTCGGTGTTGACTTTAAACACCGTCGCTCATGCAAGGCTGAAAGGGTTTGGTCTCAGCAACCCGGCAAGCCCCCGAGAGGAGGATTCCAGAGACTAGATTTCTCAGCACGGCATTCAGAAGACCGAATCACAAGAAATGGCGATGCTGGAAGTGGTAAAGCGCCAAGTCCCGAGTTGGGTGGACGTTGCGGGACCTGACTGGCTGTGACATCCTTTGCCATGGCCCATCCAACTCCATCCAAAAAAAGTATGGGGACGATCATCGTCAACTACTAGGAACGGCTTTTTTCTATCCCGGCCACCAACAATCCAGCATGGTAAACACTCGTACAAACGGTGCTCAAACTCTCCCTTCCTAAACACCTACCACCATGTATGGAGTCTCGAAGGACCTTCCGGCCGGCACTGCGCCCGCGCTCTCTGCAGCCTCCTCCTCGTACTTGAGCCTGAGATCAAACGGTTCAAATAAGGCCATGACGCCCACTTACCAAATTTCCATATACCATGCACGAGCACACGGGATAAGCCAAGGCCAACACTCACAATCACATTTCTCCTCATTTGATAGTTTCGCAACGGCTAGAAAATCCAAAAATGCCAATCGATAAATCCTGGCCGGGCTACAACAAGGGGACCATCCCCAACGACGGGTTCGAGTGGATATGGCAAGAGGCAATCCCGGGGGACGAGCCCAACAGGCCCGTGAAAGTGGTCACCATCCCGTTTGGGTACGAGAAGCGCGTGCTGCCGCGAGGATGGCAAAAGACGCCCGAGAACATGCCGTTGGAGCTGGATATCATCTTTGAGAAGGACGTTGAGATTGTCATGCGAGATGGAGTCAAGGTATTCATTACGGTGTACTGGAGACAACAAACCGTTTTGCTAACAATCTGCCATTAGATATATGCAGACATCTACCGACCCGCCGACACGGGCGACAAGAAGATCCCCATCATCATGCCATACTCGCCATACGGAAAAGGAGGCGGCGGAGCGAACTTGATGGACGTGGTGCCCTACCGTGTCGGAGTGCCCAAGAGTCGCCAGAGCGGTCTGGAGAAATTTGAAGGGTTAGTCACCCCAGAATCAAGCTTGCCATCCTGGCCGGCCGACTGATAATACCAAACATAGTCCTGACCCCAACGAATGGTGTCGTCGGGGCTATGCGATTCTTGACCCAAACGCCCGCGGATCATTCGACAGTGAGGGAAATCTACATTACTTTGGTCGCAAAGAGGGCAAGTAGATCGATCCCTTCCGTCAGCGTGGACTTGTGAATTGAAAGTCCAGCCTTGCTGATGATATTTGCAGGCGAGGATTGTTACGACATCATCGAGTTCGCGGCCAAGTACGAATGGTGCAACGGCGCCGTTGGCATGGCTGGCAACTCGTGGCTCGGCGTCGTCCAGTACTGGGCCGCAATGGAGCAGCCGCCTCATCTCAAAGCCATTGCCCCATGGGAAGGACTCAGCGACGTCTACCGTGATCTGAGCCGGCGGGGAGGAATCCCGTGGGCGCCTTTCTTGAAATGGGTTCTGATGGGTATTCCAGGTGAGTTACAAGTAGTTGTCACATACATTGGTCCCCCTCCTACCTCGAGCTAATCCTCCTCCGTTTCACAAGGCCACGGTCTCCAAGAAGCCGTCACCGAGATGGGCAACGCCCATGAATTCTACGACGCGTACTGGGAATCGAAGCGCGTCGACTTTAGTCGCATCAAGATTCCCTCGTACATCCTTGCCTCGTACTCGACCATGCTGCACACCATGGGCTCAGTCCGGGCGTGGAGAGATACAGCTACGGATAAAAAGTGGCTTCGTTTCCACCCACACCAGGAGTGGTACGAGGATTACCACTACCGCTCTGTGGACGACTTGGACCGCTTCTTCACACGGTACCTCAAGGGTGAGGACAATGGGTGGGAGAATACGCCGAAAGTGCGAGTGTCGATGTATCGGTTTGGGGAAAAGGTAGGCATCTATCTGCATAGTACACTCTTCCCCTTGCTTCACAAGACTAACAACCTACCCAAAACCTATGTAGTACCCTCTCTACGACCAGGTCGAGACCGACTACCCGATCCCCCGCACAAAATACACCAAGCTGTACCTCACGTCCAACAAGACCCTCGCAGACTCGCCCAGCGCAGCCGAGGCAGTGCATTCTTACGACTCGACCAATGGCGACATGGTGACGTACGACTACATCTTCCCCGAGCGGACGACGCTGGCGGGCTTCTCGAAACTTAAGATCTTTGTGTCGTGCAAAGAACACAACGACCTGGACATTTATGTCATGCTGCGCAAATTGTCCGTCGACGGCGAACTGATGGAGCAGTCCAATGTGCCTCTGCATGAACTCCCTGTCAAATCCGTCAAGGAGGTCGCCAACGTCAACCCGACCAAGTATCTCGGGCCAACGGGCATCCTGCGCGCCTCGCACCGGGCGATCGACCCGGACAAGTCGACAGAGTATTGTCCCGTCCATCCACACCTGCGGGCCGACTACGTCGAGCCTGGGAACGTGGTCGAGATGAACATCGGTATCTGGCCCATGGGGATTGTCTACGAAAAGGGCGAGGGCCTGCGGCTGCAGATCTCGGGCAAGACCATGGTATTGCCCGAGTGGGATAACCCGCACGTCAAGCACCAGGAGCCGCAGTTCAACAAGGGCCACCATAGGGTCCACCTGGGTGGGCAGCACGCTAAAAGCTTCTTATTAGTGCCCAAGCTGTAGCGTTGTGGTATGTATTACGTGCCAATGCATACAATGTATGAAGCTTTTTCAATGTGTAGCCGCATCTTGCAGAAGTCATTATCAGTGCATTAATATTTCCGCTTTCTGCGTTGTGCCTTGTGTGAGGAAGATCCTCCGGGGACTGAACATACTTCCCCCGTAAACCCACGAGTGACTGGCTTCAAGCCTGTCTTCACAACGCTGACATGAACTGTCGTGCACTAGAATAAAACTCTGAGACAGATAGATAGTGTGCCTCCCTTCCTCTCCCAGACCAAGATCTCCCGTCAAAATGGCAAAAAACGTATCACAGAACAGCTCAACCTACTGGTCTGTGATAAGGAAAACTCGCCCCTTTCGGAGTTGGTTTTTTTCGGCCGGCCGGTTATACTACGGAATTTATACTACGAGGGTGGTTGATGTCGTCGTGGTCCTACTGCCCCTAACCGGTGTTAGATTGATCTGATAGGACTTGAATCTCGGAGGGAGGGAGGGAATGTTCTGTCTCGAAGGGATGGCAGGAAGTAATCCAGGGTCCTGATACCCACTAACCCAGAGGGTTAGCTTTGACCTGACAGGACCTCAATCACTTTTTGCCGTAACCGGGACTCGAACTCGAGGATTTCGGATTCGTGATTCGCCCTTGTTGTGGAGAAGGGGGTCTTTGCGTGATGGATTTTTAGAGAGAAATAACATATATACAAGTGATTTTTCGTACCGGTACTGGTTCCTCTGTGACCGTCGCATCTACTATAGACTTATCTGGCCCGCGCGAGACTACTTATGTGCGCCGGGGCAAGAATGTGCCACTACCGTATCAGATGGACGACCTGGCCCGGTCGCCTGAGTTGATGAGAGTCGCAGAACGGGAGAATACGAAATGGATACAAGAAACATAGCAGTGGAATGCGGAAGCCTAACGGGAAGGGGTTCATAATAACAACAACAACCATGAAGACATAGTTAGGATTCTCCTGTATGGTGGATCGGCGAGTTGTCGCCGCAAAATGGTCAGCCGTGAGGAAATTACTTTCGTCTATCTACATAACAAGCCTGGTCAATTTCATGCAATCTTACATTTCGCCTTTCTTGACCATGCAAAAGACCGAAGAGAGGTTTCCTTCATGTATTGTGCAAGGACTAAGACAATTAACACTAACAGGAGTACTAGCATCTATTGCGGGGCTGTTGAATTAATCATGGCCATCTCTTTCGTTTGCGTTGGGTACGGAACACCAGGGGGCGGTGTGGACCCTGCCACGCATGGCCAACGAAACACAGGAATGGAAGCCGGGAGTTGACACCTCATTGCACAGTATTGCATAAGAGAGCTTTGAGCGAGTCACGAGGCAGTGCACTGTAGTGTTCAAAGTATAGAGGGCAACCACGGCCGCGCGTTTGAAGCATTGCACCCCTGGCGTCTGTCTAGAGGGACCCAGGTAGACTTGATCCGAGAATATGCGTAAGGGTCCTCCCTCAGATGATGGGATGCCATCGTTGGCAAAGTAGGCTCGGAGCAAAGGAGCCTATCTACCTCGCACTCGGTACGGCGTACGGTGTACGAGGTACTCGGTACATACATACAGTAAGTAGATGGGGGGCCACCAAGCCGCCTCTGTGGTATCCACTACTAGGGTTACGTCGGTAGCGACTACTTCGTGAATGTGCTAGAAGACCTCTTCAGTCGCTGGGTTGACGACTAGGAATTTTTCTCTCTCTTTGGGCCTTAACAAACTCGTTGTTGATAAAGAGACGAGTTCCGACGGGTCCAATGTCGGATAAGTGGCCGCTTGTTGCCATACGTGCTTTGTTCTTTACTTTAAAAAAGGACAAACAAGAAGATCCTGACACGGCTTGCGCGATGCGAAGATGGAAAAGGGTAATCAAGGGGCCGACTTAGATGACTTGCAGTGTATATCTCTTCCTACAATCCGTTGACATCGATCGAAGAAAGATTGTGAACGATAGGCGTCGTACCTTCGACATACAGGCTAAGAATTCCAGTCTGATCAACCGGAATTGCATCCGCGGGAGGCAGAGTGCCCTCGATTGTGAAAGGTCCACTTGTAAGGTCCACTTGTCCTTGGACCCAGCCCCGGACTTCTTGTCGGATCTTGGAATTTAGGAAAGGATAATTTTGGGTTATAGTAGTCGTTACTTAGATACCGAGCGCCGCATTGACCTCAATCCATCCTGACACCAAGCTTGGTAGTTGCTTTGCCCTCGACCAATTTCGCAAAGAGATCTGGTACCGCTTCTAAATCACTAATTTCCACCTCAGGGATGATTCTGTGTCTTTGAACAACGTCCAGCATCTCCCGCAGCTCCAGAGGACACCCAGTTTGAGTTCCTTTCACCACTACCATCTTCTGAATCATAGGCAGAAGGTTGAATTGGATTGGTCCATGTGGAACGCCGACTGTGACAAGGGTCCTTAGGATCGATCAGCACACAATATACAATGTACTTGGTTGCACGAAGTGAAACACAAAAACTTACTTCCCGAACCCGATAGTTTCCAATGCACCTTCGTATGCAGCCTGTGATCCTACTGCAACCACTGCTCCATCCAAGCCTTTCCCGTTCGTGATCTTCTCAACTGCCTGCTTTGTAGATTGGAGGTCGGAAGGGTCCACGACCTCTGTTGCCCCGTAATTGGACGCAGACGACCTCGCTGTGGGTGAGACATCGAACCCGATGACTGTATATCCCAGGGCAACGGCAAAGCGCACAACTAAGGTCCCCACCCCTCCCAGCCCAAAGACACCCAGGTACCCGCGACCTGGGGCGTCAACCTTCTTGACGGCACCGTACGCCGTGATTCCGGCACAGAAGAGTGGTGATAGCCTGTCATGACAGTCAATCCGTGGATACACTTCATGAACAACTTCACCATGGCGCATACTTCTCCAGCGGTAAGCTGTCGGGGATCTTGACAGTAAATTGCCAATCGACGACAGTATATTGAGCAAAGAAACCGTCCAGATGGAACCCTTGATTCTTCTTGCCGTTCTCGCAACATTGCCCATGACCCGCTAAAGTTTGCTTATTGAGTCGAAGAAGATACGAAAAGTTCAGAGAACGGTTAATCGAACAGTTATGACTTACCTAGACATGCAGCGCAGGAGCCACAGGTGCGAATCGCGTTCACGAAGCCCACCCTATCTCCCACCTTAAAGCCGCGAACAGGTTCTTCGACTAAATTGCGGAGGCTGCTGTCAGTCGCGTCGAACCATCCGCGCTTACAGATGTAATCCGCACCTTTGACCACGATCCCAACGCCTTCATGTCCCGGTACGATACCTTTGGGGTCGCCTAGAAACCCTTGCCATGGGACAATGTCAGATGCGCAGAGGCTAGCAGCAACCACTTTCACAAGTAGGTCGCCAGGCGCGAGCTCTGGAAGTGGTTTTTCGGTGACTGCAAGTCGTCCGTTTGCCTGTTGATGGCGTGAGCAGGCTCTTTCGAAGTGATTTTTGAATGGAGATCCGACCGACCTGCTGAAAGACGACTGCTTTCATAGATTGTGGAAGATCTGCTGAAATTGCCATTGTGTGGCGGACGGATAGCACATGCACAGCCTGTAGGTAGAATTGTCCCAAATGTCATCAGGCCTGCGAACCCGTAGGCATGGAGTAACTATAATAGGACCTAAAATACGGGATTAAACACAGGGACGACCTGGTCGTTGACCACGAGTCGCCCGGCCACAGATCCACTGCATCCTGGCGGCCAAATTGATATTTCTCCAACTAGAAAATGAAAGCAATTTTTAAGGGCAAGCCTAAGAATTCGTGACTTTTGCCATAGGGTTTAGAGCTCGTGTCCTTGAACTCTTGTCATCTGAAAGAGCCTATTGTGAATCTTTTTGCGCCGGGCCCGAAAAGGAAAACAGTATGGACGAAGTAATCCGTCGGCTTGAAGGCAAAGTGTACATTAACAATGAAGTAAGGATGCGGATCGGTCGATTAGAAATGACACTCACAACATAGCTAACATCTTTGGAAATAGTACATTGATTCTCAAAGCTCTGTGTAGTAAGAGACGACGTTCCTGGCTCTGTTTGAAAGGATCTAGCTAACTCTTTCCCAGTCTCACAGTTACCGATCCAGCTGACGGTAAGGTTCTTACGTCGAAGATCCCGAATGCATCATCAGAGGACCTGGATCTTGCTGTCAAGTCAGCCGAAGATGCATTTCAACGCTCGAGCCCGTGGCGGACCATGAGCACCGCGGCACGGAGACAGTGCATGTGGAAACTTGCCGACCTCTTCAACGATCCGGTCCACGCGGACATGATGTCTCAGTTGGAATCTCATTCCTTTGGCAGACCAATCAAGCCTCACCTGGACGTTGATGTTGCAGTTGCCGTGGAGGGCATTCGATGTGAGCATTTACCGCCGGGGGCGAGGCCCGTAGTCCGGGAATATCTGCTGATACATGGCATGCATCGTCCATAGACTACTCTGGCTGGTGTGACAAGGTCACCGGGGAAACACATCTCAAGGACAACGGGTTTACAAAGTCCGTGCGAAGGGAGCCGATCGGCGTGGTTGGAGCACTTTTGGCATGGAATGGCCCGGTCAAATGCCCTGCTCAGATACCCAGCTCATGCCCGCCATGAGTGGACGAGTAAGATGAACATGGGGCTGACGTCGACCACTTTCCAGATTGCCTCTGTCGTCATGAAGGCCGGCCCAGCACTGGCCACGGGCAATGTTATAATCCTGAAACCGAGTGAGAAGACCCCCCTAGGGGCGCTCTACGCGGCCGACCTCTTTCGTCAGGCGGGATTTCCACCGGGGGTTTTCCAAGTCCTCCCTGGCGATGGAAAACTTGGTACGCTGATGGCATCACATATGAGGATTCGAAAGGTAAGCCCTTCTACCACCACAACGTTCAGAGTGCTTCGATCTCAAGGGTACCCGCAGATAAGCTTCACAGGCTCCATTTCAACAGGCAAGAAAGTGCAGGAGGCAGCGGCCAAGTCGAATTTGAAGC